GTATATAACAGCTCATCTTGCCGGTACTTAGCTACGGAGCAGAAATCTGGAGTCTTACAAAGAGGGTTCAGCTTAAATTGAGGACGACGCAGCGAGCAATGGAAAGGAAAATGGTAGGTGTAACCTTAAGCGACAAGAAGAGAGCAGAGTGGATTAGGGAACAAACTGGAGGGAAGGATATCATAGTTGAAATAAAGAGGAAATGGACATGGGCCGGGCATGTAGCACGTAGACAGGATAACCGCTGGTCATTAAGGGTAACTAACTGGATTCCCAGAGAAGGCAAGCGGGTTAGGGGGCGACAGATGGTTAGGCGGGCAGATGAGATGAGGAAGCTTGCGGCTCAAATTAGCAGCAGCAATCACAGGACCGAGTTGACTGGATGATGATGATGATGAAAGGAGAAACCGACAAGCTTTATAATTTAAGGCGAAAGCCCTAAATTCCATTTCAAAGATGCAAACTGACCGACGGCGTCGTGTATTGGCGGCGTCAACGCGAATGATGTGAAAGATCACCATCATGTGATTACGTCACCACCTCACCTCATCACAAAACATTGGTGGTGTACGCAAAAGGTGGGCCTATTCTGCAGGAAGCAAAAAACCGCGCCAGCTGCAGGAAGCTGCAGCCAATCAGAAAACTGCACAATCAGACACATAATTCAGCACTCGCGCACTTAGATACAATACTTCAATACACACAAATGTTCACTCAACAAAGGAGTCCACTAGACAAGTATTCACACAGTCAATACGTCCGTTCAGACGTAACAGAAGATATCAGCAAGATGATCCCACAGCTAGCAGACGCTTGGAAATTCTTTCCGATCTGCGAGTAATTTTCTTCCTTAAGAAACTTGCCATTCGCTTCTTCCGTGTCGCACAAAGAATTCTGTTTCAAATAGACAGTTTTTCGCTGCTATCCATGAAATGAAGCAAATCAAAACATGGTCTTCATTGATGCACCAGAAGCTCGCATGTAAAGGCAAAATAAAATGCTTCACTTCGTTTTGTACCATTTTTTGAATCTTACCCGCGCAATAAGCTCTAACTCGTATGTCATTCATGGTATACACCGACGTTCGCCTGTGCCACGCCTTGCCTAAGCTTTCAGTGGATTAGCGCACGTCCCAACGATCCTAAACGGAGCTATGTTTCGCATCGGTGCGTTCTTGGAAAGCACCAAAGCACGGCACAGGACGATATGGTGACCTCGCTGCCTACCAAACAGCCTCATTGTTCTGATGAATGGGAACGCTTGACCGTATGAGACGTTGGCGGCACTGTCTGTGGGCGGCGCGCAGGTGTCCAGCTTAATCCCCGTTGATCGAGGTGCGCCCGGCCCGGTTCGGTGGGGAGTCGCTAAATCGGTGGAATCGGGGATGCGTTGAGAAGAAGGAAACAACAAAAAAGACTGATTGAAAGGTTTTGATGTAGTGATACATGTAGGCCTATAGCGCTTCATCTAGTGCGCAAGCACATGTCATTACTCGAAGGCACTGGTCACCAGAAGCGCATGGTTAGTAGATACGTCAATTATTCATAGTCTACTTCAGCAATAGGTTAGTAGTGTCGTGGTCTTCTGATTGAATTGTTCTAAATTGTGGTATAGCAGTGATACGTTTACATTTACGCTTGGCCGATACATCTTTACTACCATTAGCAGTACATGAACGATGTTTACTTTCGCTGCTTCAATTATTTATTTCAAATTATGCTTATATACGTGACTTTTCTCTCCTCCTCTATAACTTTTTCCCCTTCTCCCTTTCCGGGTAGCCTAAAGGGCTCAGCCCTGGTGAACCTCCCGGCCTTTCTTTTATCTTTATTCTCTCTCTCTTTCTCTCTTGGTTTGCCATTGATAGAATATACCACAGGTCGCTGCTCAGCCATGCTGAGGTTCGTGCTTTCTGTTTGGTATGTATGGTCATTCATGCTGTAATATATTTTGCGAGAACACCTGTTTCTCCTACAAACTGATATTAAGTTAACCAGTACTCACAGTCTGATCGCACGCCTCCTTAGCTCATAAGATCGTATGTTTCTGCGACATCTGAGTGTTTGCTCTTCTTGTATTGTCTTCGTAGCAATGGCTCGCGCTCGCCGCACCTATGTGGCCAAGTGGCAATAGTTAAAAGTTCCGCCTGAAGTAGCCATTCTGTGGATGAAATTGATAACTCTATTTCATCCGCAGAATGGCTGCTTCAGGCGGAACTTTTGACTATTGCCACTTGGCCCCATAGGTACGGTGAGCGCGAGCCATTGCTGCGAGACAATACAAGGAGAGCCAACACTCAAATGTCGCAGAAGTATACGATCTTATGAGCTAAGTATATGATCTAAGCATATGATCTTATGAGCTATTGATAACTCAGCCCCACCGCGGTGGTCTAGTGGCTCAGGTACTCGGCTGCTGACCCGCAGGTCGCGGGATGGAATCCCGGCTGCGGCGGCTGCATTTCCGATGGAGGCGGAAATGTTGTAGGCCCGTGTACTCAGATTTGGGTGCACGTTAAAGAACCCCATGTGGTCGAAATTTCCGGAGGCCTCCTCTACGGCGTCTCTCATAATAATATGGTGGTTTTGGGACGTTAAAACCCACATATCAATCAATCATGAAATCGATAACTCGAAAAATTCTTACCACTTTCGCTTAAAAGCAATGCTGTTTATCGAAGATGGTGCGTATTGTTCGACACTCATCCTTCCGCCGACGCCGAAATTTCAGAACAACGGTGCTATTTTTTTCTTCTGTTAAGGCATAAGCTACTTTCGTTTTTAGAGCAAACTGTTACTTTTAGCTTTTTTTTTCTCATACTTGTTTAGGTCGAGCAGTGATATTTCCGCGTCGAAAGTTGTTTTCCGTGCGCTTCACGGCTATTGCCGCTGATTCTCGACGATCCTACATAGGGGAAGCACACGAACCTGCGAAGTTATACCTCTTTTTACAATCGCTGATTGGCAATTGGGTACGTTGTATCAGAAAGTATAAACAGCTTAAAAGTGAAGTGGTGCGTTTTTTTTTTTCGGGAAAAGAGAGAAATAATTATCTCACGAGTCTCGGCGAGGGCTATAGAAAAATTCTTCTTTCTTACGCATTTCAAAAGGAAATACGCGCGGAGATTTGATCATTTAACGTTGCTCGTTCGATGAGCAATTTCTCAACAAGATGCTATTCCACGTTCTGGATGTCTGGGCGAACAACCAACGCTATCGAACTGTTAAAGGATCTGTCAACTAGTCCGGCTAGGACAACTGATCTTTAAGCATGCTTAGTGTGACCTGCTTACGAACACCGCAATAATCTGCGAACAGGCTCCTCCCATAAGCAAGACTTGGGAGGTCTCCAATGCTTAAATCGATCTTTATATATGATCGAGCGCTTGCGTCAGCGGGCGGCACCTATGCATTATCATTCAGTCTTGCAAGTGTACGGGTACACCGCAATAGACTTGTCTCCTTAATGCTTTGCTTTCGACAAGAGACGTGATGCAGTATACTTGTTCGACTATCACTTTCGCGGACTGCCACGGCTCAGTGTTTGGCGCTCTTTGGCCTGAGTTGCAGGCTTGTGCCAATAAAATCTTCACCATCACTTCCACGCATTTACGTTATAAATTATCCTCTTCGACGTGCCGGATGTTTGAGCGAATGACCAATGCTGTCGAACTTCCATCAACATGTCTGACTATAGGGCGACCATGCAGTCTTTCGGCATCATTTAGTAAGTCTGCAGAATCTCCAAATGTTGGTCGGTTGACTCCATGTCCTCTCTGTTTGCTTGTTCAGTACAACAGACTGCTCGGATATAACTTGGGCAGGATAAAGTTATCCTTAGTGTTTTAGTGTAAGTTTTTCCTTGCTGTTAGTTGGCTATTTTCGCTTATTACGCATTTATCATCACAATTCATTTCAATTTTTTCCACGAACAATTTCAGTATAAGCGCCTTTTGTGAACATGAAAAGCGGTCATTTCTCGTTTCTTGTGCAGCTTCCGGCGAAGAGAAACATAAAACTTGGATCCCTAACTCGGAAAAGCGGTACATCACGTTCCTATACCAATATTCAGCAACTCAAGATGCTAGGCAGAAGTGACGATACACCTCTGCCCCGCCCCTTTCTCCTAACACCATAAATTCCATCTGCCTTCTTCCAGGAAGCAGCGCTTTCGGCCTTGAAACCGGTGCATTCGAGCGCACAGCTGCAGTTCACCGTGCGCAAACCACCTGTCGCGTTTGTTTGAATCATGTCTCCGCCGTATGCGCGCGTGTATCGCGATAGTCGCACTCATGTCACCCTGAATGCGAATCACAGAAGAAAAAGTCAATAGCCTTCGTCTTCATTGTCAGCACTGACTTGATAATACCGGCGTTACGCATGACAGAGCACTTTCTCTAACGCAGTGTAACTGCATAACTGTTCTCCTGTTCCTTACCGTGTGCGCGATATGTGGACTACACTGAAGGTGCATTCCAGTGTCCTGTTTGGAGTCACCTTGCCTTGTCATATACAAGAATACGCGTACTGGTTCTGTCGGTTAGGTGTAATGTCTGATGTTTTACTAATCGATTCAGGATCAGACTTCAGGGGGTCGCTCCGCTGATCAAGCACTCCATGTAGGCCAGACGGAATTCGCCGTATGAGTGCTGCCGCGACTGATCCGTCCGAGCCTCCTCTTCTCAGGCGTCGGGATAGGTACCCTGCCAAGGTCGGAGTGGCGTACCGGCTACGGGACTTCATTTACCGGGTGGCGAGGAAGGAAGATCAGTGTTCCTCCTCGGAAGAGGAAGCCTTCTTCCGATGGAGAGGGTCTCCCCAGAAGGGGAAGGGGGGTAGCCGGCGGGACCCCCCTCGACAGGCGAGGAGGAGGAAGCCAACAGGTTCCGGCGGCGGGGTGCCCCTCCTCAACAGGTTCGATGTCAACGACCGGCCAGGTAAACAGTGCGGGGGGCTCACCGACGGCAGTGTCCGCGCAGGCCATGCCGTGAGCGGGGGGGCATGGACGCCTTCAAGCTGGAGGAGCACGGCGCGCTGCCCAGCTCCACCGACGAGTCCGCCAAGCTGAGCGAGCTGGGCTTCGGCGCGGCCGCCGAGTTCGGCTTCTTCGAGGTCAAAAAGGAAGGCTACGAAGAGAAGCAGGCCTGCTACTTCGAGCCGGGCGACTACAAGGAGTACACTCCGCTGCCGCCGTACCCGGCCGAGCCCCTCGCGAGCCCGGGCTCGCCGCTCGCCGCGCCCCCCGGATCGCCGCCCGTCGCCCTGCTGTGCGCGCTGCCCGAGAGCTCGGGCATCGCCAACCACGCCGGACTCAACAAGGCGTCCATCAAACAAGGTGAGGATCATCACGTAGCGGCTGTGCGGGCAGGATCCTCTCCTCTTTCGGTGAATTTCGGCTCTGCCGTCGGTGGTGGCGACGTCGACTCACCCGGTCATCGAACCCACGGTCGGAGAATGACCCCCGCGCTGCGGTCTCTTCCTGAGAGACAACGGCCGTCCAGATAACTGCATGAACGTCCGGCCGGCCAGGACCGACCCTTGGGTCAAGCCGCGGGCCCACTTTCCATTGGGCGTGCTTGCGAGCCGGCGTTCGGAGCGGCCGTGGCATTGACCTTGCCGAGTCGCTCACCTCCGCCGCTGCCGTTCCGTCGTGCTTCCTCCGGTCCCGGCGACTTTCCGGCGGTTCGGTTATGGTGTTTTCCGTGGTGCGCTTTGGGACTACGCAGATGGTGTTTCTTTTTTTGTTTAACAAGTGACGTCTCGACGCATTCCTTTTCACACTTTCGGTTCCACCACCACTATCGCATTTTTTGCTACTGTCGGCGAGAGCTCCTGTCATGGAACGACACGAAGTGATGCTCAAGCGCGCGTGCTGAAAGATGAGAGTTTCCGTACTCCTCGTTGAGAAACGTTGTTTTCATACACGTTACAAAAGCCATTCAGCGCAGTTGGTGACCGTCCGGTGCGCTGGGACGGCAGCCGAGCGGAGAGCAAGCATCCGGCGGCCACTGCACCGGCGCAAGGTCGTTGACGTGCCGGCGCGCTCGCAGCACCGTTGCCGGCTCGCAAACCACGTCCTCTGCTTCTTCGCACGATTAGCGATGTTCCACTCCTTCAAGATGTACTTCAAGACTCGATTTCGTCGAACTTCATCGGAACTCTGTATTGCACGTGCTCCAGGGGTCATCGTCCCACCTCCGGGGACGTGCCGAACTCAAATTTCGCATTTCAATCGCCGCTGTCACCATTTCCTCAGCCGAAAGTTATTTAGGGCCGAAATTGCAATAGCTGATGCTGGAAAAATATTTTACCGTACTTTGGCGAAGTGACTTTCCAAAGTGTTAGTCGTGAGGTCATCGGCCCTGGTCGCCGACCCCCAAGTACTCGATCGCGTTCCTCGGAATAAAACTGGAGTAGTGCAGTAAACATTACATAACTCGAACTTCTAAAGGGACTCCCAGTCATGAAATCTGATTTTTTTTCGACGATTTGTGCGCACTTTTCGCCGTTCCGAGGTCGTTGGCACGGTGAATGACCCCGAGAGTCGCTCGGTCTCCGGGCGCCCGCTGCTGCGCCTCCGAGACTCGTTACGCGAAAGTGTCTTGTAAAACAGCGGAACAGTGCTCGTCTTTCATCGATGTATGACATCGTTGCCACATGCTGTTCGCTTGTTGTCCAGTGTGTATGGTCAGTGGGTCAACGAACCCAATGTGTTCCATATGAAGTCATCTGGACGCTATGTGTGCGCAACTAACTCACTCATATCTGACTCGTCCGGCATGTATACATCGAGACCTGTTGCTTGAAAAAATTATCCACTTCGTTTTCGTTCTTAGAGAATTCAGTTTTTCGAAGGGTTTTGAAGTTTGTCAATCATCCGGTCAATGAACTCAGTGCTGTCCACGTGTATGCATGTACGGATTCCTCTCGCTTAGGTTTTACTTTCGTTACTGTTTCGTGTTCGTCTGGTTGCGAATGACGTCGCCCGACCACAAAAATTTCGCCGGGTTTTCATTTTTATCGCTTTGACGAAGTATCGCACTTCTCGGTCAACGAACCTGCTGCTCGAGTTTGCTGCTATAGATTCCAAAGTTCCATTTATTTCAAAAGAAATATTGTGCACTTCTTAAGCGACACAAACTTTTGTTTAATGGATGCATAATTTTTGTTTAGTGCATTCGCACTTCACATGCGCCGCCACTCTACACTTTGTGCAACTTTGGTTTCAAGGTCATCGACCCTTAGACGGATTTCGAACTGTGGGAACGCACCTCGCTTTTACGAATCTGTGGAGCCTCCTTGATGATCTGAAAAAGCGAGCTGACCGAATATCGTTCTAGCATCCACATTCCGTATGCATGCTTTGGTGCTGTCAGGTCATTGAACCTTCATATAGCAGAGCTTCAAGTGTTCGAGCTTTATGGCGGCTTGGACAGCAATCGTGTTTAGAAAATTTACAATTCGTACGAACGGGCCATGCTGTGTTCAATTTCTCCTTGAGAAGAGTTGATTAAACTCAATCGTAATAACGCCATCTATCTATCACTAAGTTAGTTTTATAGTTTAATGTAACTTGTGCAAAAGGCGGGACTATTTCGAGGTGTCGCGTTAGCCTTGTCGACAGCCTTTACTCTCTTGGATGCTCGGGTCATCGACCCCTTGGCTGCTCAACTTAGTCTTCTCATTTCACTTGCACATTCGTCTACGAGGTTGTAACGAAGCAACGCTGAGCGTAAAATCATCGTTCGTTAGTCTGCCACTTTTTTCCACCACCCGTCGTGAATGTTACGTCATTTTCGCGATTGAATGTGGCGCGCCGCGCTGCCCGGGTCATTGATCCGGTTCTCTGGCGGCGCTCGCCGCGACACTGGCGTTCTCCGTGAGTTTCGATTCACTTATTTTGTGTAACCCTTCATCGAATTATCAGCGGAAGGTGAACACATATATCGGGGTCTTATTTTGTTCACCATAAACGCATCTGGTGTCGGTGTTTCTTTTCGAGTTTCGGGTGCATCGACAGTAGGTCAGTGAACTTTGTGCCTTGGTCCAAGCGTCGATCGCCCCATTAATGTAAGCTTTCAAATTTTTCTTCGTGTTTTGCACAGCAGCTCATATTTTGATTAGCGTATACATCGCATACATGTTTGCATGATGCCTTGTGTGGTTTATTTGAGTTCGACAGATTAACGACGTAGGGGTCATTGACCTTGCCTACGCCACACTTCGCACTTACCGCTCTCGACGGCACGTGTTATATGCCAGCATCACCTTCAGTGAGATTTGGAATGGATTCCCGATGAACGCGATATGGTGCCTAATTTTGTGACAGTTTGACTGCGGGGTCATCGCTCTTCCTCGCTCCTTCCACGCACTGTGTGCTTGTGTGACACGTCGCCGCGCGTAAGTACTCGCAATATACAGTGCTGCATGTCGCAGAACTACTACTGGGTGCCTTATGTTTTGATTTACTTTAGTGTTGCGCGACCAGTACACATAGAATACGGGGTCACTGACCTCGTGCTGTGTTAAGCTGTGTTGCCGGCTTAGTTAATATTATTCACCTCAGTAATAATATCGCGTCGATCTGTGTTTTCCTCTCATCTGTCATTTATGTTCGTTAGCCTGATAATGCGCTCTTCGTTTAGGGGCATTTTCTTTTCATAGTTTATCTACATGGTCTATTTCGTTTTAATTTAATTTTTTTATTATTAAAGCAGAAAGTTTCGGATTTATTTCACTCTCTAATGTTGGAGTAGTTCGATATTCAGGTATGAATGTTCCGATGAACAAGGTGTCGCGATGTTTCCGATATTACTCGATGTGAATCCGAGTTATTTAAAAGGCGAAATTGTAAGCCACCATGCATGCAGCCTATTTCATTACGTTAATTATATGCTATAACTGATGTTATTTGTTGACTCCATATGATATTCTCTGGTATCTATATGATATACAAACTAGCGTCGCAATTTTTTCAGCCAACCTTTTTTGTCTCTTTAATGGCCTTACCTTTTTTTCACCTTCAAAAACGGTACCTTCTTTTTTTTCTATTCATGTTCGTTTCTCATTCGCTGTGACGTAAGGCAGTGCTCTAGTTTTTTTTCTTTTTATGATGTGTGTGTGTGTGTGTGTGTGTGTGTGTGTGTGTGTGTGTGTGTGTGTGTGTGTGTGTGTGTGTGTGTGTGTGTGTGTGTGTGTGTGTGTGTGTTGGGTGAAAGTTTACTTCCTAGAGTTCGGAGGTTGCTCACAACATTCATTTTATGTGATGCCAATTTAGTCAGTAACAAATGCGAAAACTTGTGCGCGTCTGCAAAAAAACAACAACAGAGTATTCATATGTTGTTGACAAGTTGGCGTTGGTGACTGACGCCGACATTGGCAGATGTGTTTATGCGTAAATAACATACGTACACCTGTAGTAAGACCTATGCATGGTGCCATTAACCACTCTGATACACGTGCTAACAGGTGAAAACATTAAAACACGCCACGAAGGTGTCATTCAAGTTATAAATTAGTTGTAGCTGTGGACGAAACTTCCGTCAAGTTTTCGACGTTGTATTACACCTAACTTTCAGAAGGCGTGGCGAAGATCAATGTTTCGTAATGGTTGAGGTTAGGCGTCCTTCCACTTCACGAAGTGCCACTGTGGTGCACTTGCTATGCTCCGAGAAGTTCGCCTCGTTCGTGAAGACTGTACTATAGCGAGAGTTGCATCAATCGTAGTAGCGAGAGTTGCATAAAGCGAGAATCGAATAAGTTGTCACGATGCTGTTCACGCAATGTGCAATATATGGTTTTCTTGCTCGTCAGTTCATTTTTGAAAATCAACCTTAGTTTCTGCTTACTCTCTTAGGGTTGTCAGTAGTTATAATATTATAAACACCATACGCGAATTTGCACGGTAAGAATGCGAACTGAATTTAGATTAGTGTGTGAGAAGCAGCAGTATGCCAAAAGCTTGCTGTACCATTTTAGACAACACTTCAGACTAAGTTTGTATATAAAGACGCCTTATTTTGTTCTTCGTACAGTTTTTTATCTTCATGTGATGGAGGTAACCGAACTAGAAGTCGGCGTTGGGGCGTAACACCGACTGTTCAACCTCACGACGAAGAAATACTCTTCGGGAAGCTAAAATGGTTATCGTCTGCGGCAGATGAATAGTAAAGTCGACCTCGTTTACATAAGACGCTTGTCAAATAGTAGTTACGATACTCTGACACAGATGTTACTGGTCAGTGTCATTGAACTCTCGTGGAAAAAATAAAGCCTCTCACCTAGCTGTCGGCAACTGCACTGTCATGTCATGAAGCATACCCAATATAGTCGCTC